ATCACTTCCTAAACACTTTGACTTCACCTTTGGCCTGGAAACTATCTGAGAGGAGGAATCAGGGAGAAGGAAATGACACCATGTCAGCAGCTATGATAGATGGCACCTCATGTTTCAGAGTAGAAGCTGACCCCAGGCTGTCAGTGTGTTTATATGTGCCTATATGTCTCTGCTCCTCGCTGGATGTGTGTTGTGCTATGCTGTGGGATCATTCCCAGTATTAATGACCAGTCTCTGCTGCCCTCCCTGACTTTGGCATGTTTGACTGGAGAAAAGGCTCTGCTCTGGTGTTTCCACCAGAGCAGATATAAGATTGTTAAGTAGTCTGATATTGACAGCAGTTTATGGAGTTTAATTGACATAAAAAGTCAGTGTTCCATATTCCAAACTGCAGAAACTGTACAGAGAGGTGTGTGTGCGTGTGTGTGTGTTTTTATGAGATAGAGCAGTCCTGGCACCGACTGAAGGTCAGGGGAAGTATCAGTGACAGGAAGTCAGCCACTGCCAGGTTCAGGCCAGGTTACTGCCGTAATGAATGACCATGCTGAGTGACACCTGGCTGGTCCTACAGACACGAGGTGCAACATGCACATGCTTTGATACACAACCTCACACACACATTAACACACAGCAAGAGAGGTGTTAAAAAGCAGAGAAAGTTGGCTGCAGCTCCTAAATATATTCCTATCAGGTAACTATATTATCAGGGACAGAAAGTGACCCCAATCTGTTTTGTTTTTTTGCCAGTCTTGGATTGTCATGCCTCAGTTTTGGGTCTTGGTGGTGATCTGGTTTGATAAACTGGGTGAAGGCTGGTTCAACTCCCTTAATATTCCAAGACTGAGGCCTAGCACAAGACCAGGAAAAAACAAGTTGAGACCCAGAAACTGGGTAACATGTAAACTGTTTACCAAGCTGTTTTGCTGTTTATTAGCATTGTTCTAATTGCTTAAAACTAGGATACAGTATATTGCCAAAGGTATTTGCTCACCCATTCAAATGATAGGAATCAGGTGTTCCAATCACTTCCAAGGCCGCAGGTGTATAAAATGAAGCACCTACACATGCAGACTATTTGTACAAACATATATGAAAAAATGGGTCACTCTCAGGAGCTCAGTGAATTCCAGCATGGAAGTGTGATAGGATGCCACCTGTGCAATAAATCCAGTCGTTAAAATTTCCTCGCTCCTAAATATTCCACAGTCAGCTGTGTTATGAGGAAACGGAAGTGTTTGGGAACGACAGCAACTCATTCACAAAGTGGTCGGCCACGTAAACTGACAGAGCGAGGTCAGCAGATGCTGAAGAGCATAGAAGACATCACCAACTTTCTGCCGGAGGTCACAATAGACCTCCAGACTTCATGTCATTAGCTCAAGAACAGTCTACAGAGAGATTTATGAAATGGGTTTCCATGGTGGCCAGCTGCATCTTAGCCATACCTCACCAAGTGCAATGCAAAGCATTGGATGCCGTGTTGTAAAGCACGCCGGCACTGGACTCTTGAGCAGTGGAGGAGCGTTCTCTGAAGTTACGAATCACGCTTCTCCCTCTGGCAATCTGATGAACGAGTCTGGGTTTGGCGGTTGCCAGGACGACGGTACTTGTCAGACTATTGTACTGAGTGTGAAGTTTGGTGGTGGGTGGATTATGGTGTGGGTTTGTTTTTCAGGAGCTGGGCTTGGTCCCTTAGTTCCAATGAAAGGAACTCTGAATGCTTCAGCAACATTTTAGACAATCCTATGCTCCCAACTTTGTGAAAACAGTTTCATTGGACCCTTCGTCTTCCATATGACTGTGCATCAGAGCACAAAGTAAGGTCCATAAAGACATGGATGGCAGAGTCTGTTGTGAATGAACTTGACTGGCCTGCACAGAGTCCTGACCTCAACCCGATAGAACACCTTTGGAATAAATTAGAGAGGAGACAACATCAGTATGTGACCTCACAAATACCCTTCTGGAAGAAGACCAGCTCTGTATTTCCATCCATCCAGCCTGCCCACCTGTTTTTCTGGGGTCGGTTCACAGGGATAACAGCCTAAGAAAGGAGGCTCAGACTTCCCTCTCCTCAGCCACTTTTTCTATCTCCTCCGGGGGAATCCCAAGGCATTCCGAGGCCAGTTGAGAAACATAGTCCCTCCAGCATGTCCTGGGTCTTTGTCGGGTTGTAGTCCTAGTGGGTGGTGCCCAGAACACCTCACCAGGGAGGCGTCCAGGAGGAATCCTAACCAGATTCCCGAGCCACCTCAACTGGCTCCTCTCGATGTGAAGGAGCACTGGCTCTACTCTGAGTCCTTCCCAGATGAGTGAACTTGTCACCCTATCTCTAAGGGAGAGTCAATAAGTCCAACGAAGAATACTCATTTTGGCTGCAAGTATCCGCAACTTCATTCTTTCGGTCATGACCCAAAGCTCATGACCACAGATGACTTTAGAAACGTAGATCAACCGGTAAATCGATAGCATCGCTTTTTGACTCAGCTCTCGCTTCACTTCAGCATACTGTTATTCTCTGTCTTAACTTTGTTTGCTGTATTATTTTTATCCCTGCACATTTTTATTAGCAGGGACATTAGCAGAAGAATCTGTGCTGACACCCTGGCACCCTGCCTGCCTCTGCAGGTGTTTCACTTCACTGCAACAAGAGGAATCAGAGTTGGCACAAGGCAGGTGGACAAGAGTGATGAAATGCATCTGTTGGTTCAGGTTCATGTCGGCGCTCTGTCTTGCTCTGTTGCAAAGTTCTGAGATCTCATAGACATCGGATCTTAAAATAGAGCGTCATCTTCAGTTTAACTGAGACCAAATTTGATACTGGGTCCTGTGGTGAGTAGACATCACTGCGGGCTAACTTTAGGCACAGCTATCCATCTTAACACCTCACTATTCTCAGTTCTCTTGCTTAGGTTACTCAAGTTTTCAGACACATCCAAGGCATGCACTGAAAGGGATAGTGCTTTATAGGCAGCAGACGAAGGTTTTCTTGATATTTGGTCTGAAGTCGTATGCATACTTGATGTTTAGGCAGAACCAGACAATTTTTGTTCATTGAGAGACATGAAGCAATTATTCTGTCTGTTGCGGTAAAGTGGTCCCGCTGCATCACATGAGCCACATCCAGGAGTTACATCTGCATTAGCCACATGACATCTTCTGACATGTCGTGGATTTATAACTTATGAAGTCCAGTGGTTGCTTATCAGTAAAAAGCACATTACATCCTCAGGCCTGGGTGCAGCAAAAGCAGCTCTGGTCCAGCTCAGGGCCAATTAGGCCTGCTGTGTTCAGCTCATCCCATCCACTGTGAGCATGTCTGCATCTCTGTTGCTTGACTTAGAAGATCACAATGGATTCTGATCTCTTCACAATTAGTCAAGGAATTCTAGAACATCTGCTGAGTGACAAATCTTGTATTTTTTTTTTTGTTTTTTTTGGTTTATGCATTTTATTGCACCATTAGGAAAGAAGTCTTACAAAGTATTCACACTAGCTGTGTTTAGCTTACTTTAATCAAACCCTAGCTTGTTTGTCTGGAGCAGGGGTGCCCAAAGTTGGTCCTTGAGGGCCAGCATCCTGCATGTTTTAGTTTTCTCCTGATTTAGCACACCTGCATCAAATGAAGGCTCATTAGAAGGTCATCAAATGATGGCCTCAATATTCCTAAGGAACATTGACTTGCTGAGGAGGTTGTTTAGGGAGAGAACTAAAACATGCAGGATGCTGGACCTCGAGGGCCAACTTTGGGCACCCCTGGTCTAGATGGTCTGGTTTGTTTGTGGAGGTGTGAATGCACATTGTAGATCTGATGCGGACCAAGAGTAATTGTGGTTTTCCGACAACCAAAGGTCTGGGTTTGGTTAAAATGAAATCTGGTGAGGTTAGAATGAATATGTGAATGACCTGAGACTGTTCCAAAAGCAGGAAAGGGACTATAGACAAGGGCATTCTGGGTAAATACAACCTTAACAATAGTCTATCTATAGAGGTACAAATGGCTTGTTACCAAAGATAAATAGAAATCCCACAAGTAGTTCTTGGTGCAGTTCCCCCACTAGTGATGGGGGAACAGGTTTTTTTTAAAGGGTTTGGTTTGTTTGACACGGTGCAGTGTGAAAAACGAAAAACTGGAAATGTGACAAATTTTCAGTAGCCACTAATCAGATCAGTCCGGCACACTCAGACATAATAGTCCAGTCAGATGTGAGTTTTCACACTCCATAATTGATCTATGATCATTTAGGTTAGTTTTCACAACTGATTGTTTGTGTCATGTGGTAGATATCAGCCCACTGGTGAGAGAAAAAGTAGATCTTGGTCTCAAAAAGTTTGGGCACCCCTGATCTAACTATTGGATGTCAGTAAGGCATTTGAAGAACTGAACTTATATCAAAGGAAAATGTTAATTGATGAAGATATAGGAGACTGGAGGTGTTTTCTCTTTGTGAGGTCAGTCTGAGGATGCTTTGGTGACTCATCAGGCTTACATTCACCCCTGCCCCAGAGGTCAGAGGTTAAACTCATGAGAGGAGAAGGTTAGATCCCATCTGAGCTGCATTCAGACCAACCTCTGACCTGCTGCTTCTAAAACTCTGCAGTTGTACTCGTCTTAAACCCTTTAGGAGGAATTTACCAGACCAATCATCTTTGATCAACATTACAACAGAAATGCCAGAATTTTTAAGGGGTTTATATGTTTATGTTGAATAAAATCTTGATGACTTTAAGAGGTCTTTCTGCACAGCCCTGTTCCAAACATTTACTTATTAAACTGCCAGGAATATGTCCAACTGGTTCATTTGTGAACCACTAAGTGAAAATCACAAAAAACAGTTCTCATTTTAAGTTCATGTTAATTAGATTAATTTGGTGCCTTTAATGATTTTAAAAATTTTCCAGAGTGGAGCCATTATTTAGCTGCTTTGTGGCTATGCTGTTTGAGACGGCACCAATAGTGTGTCAAGTTGCTGATGTTGTCTCCTCTGTTCTTCACACAGGATGCCTCCATCGCCCACCGCTTTCATCTGATGAGAGAAAAACACCCAGAGAAGTTCAACAGCAGGTTAGTGAATTTGAAATGGAGCGTTGATACACGAGTCCAAACTGCTTTTCACTTAATTTGGAGCACTGTGGAATGACAAGTTTCTGTAACTTTAACAGAAACTCGTCACTTCCTTTGTGTTGTCCAGGGTAAAGATGATGTTCTCATCTAAAGATGAAATCAAGTTTCTGGTCTGGAAGTCTTGGGATGCAGAGTGAAATAAAGATAGACTGTAGCACATATGACACAAGTGGAGATTTGAGTCATCGTAATAGCTCAGAATTATAGCTTTAAATGGCCAGCCGTGAGAGCAAGTACATAACAGTCTAATTAAAAGTTATATAATGTTCCGAGCTGTCTAAGGAAGGTCGGGGCTGAGAGTCACAGTGATCCATATAGAGGATGTAAAGAAATATCCAAGGAAGGACAAGCTGTAGAACATACAGTCACCCTGCTGTGATAATCTGTCACAGCAGCAGCTTCATCAAGTCACACATATTATTACTCTGGTGTTTCAGACTAAACTTAAAAGATATAAAACAAAATGCTGTCGTTTCAGATTTCTCGTTAACTCATGCTGGTTTCTTAGAGACAAATACTGGATTTCAATATTTGTTCTAAATATTTAATCGCTCTTAGATATTTCTATATGTAATTGTATTAATCAGGTGGTGTCAAATTAAACTAGCCTAGATGTTTTTTATCCATTTATTTCAGTTTTATATTGCAGAAAATATCACCTTTACATAAAGAAACGTTCTTTTCTAATTGGTCCACAAAGAATTTTATTTTGAAAATATTTAAAGGAAGTTAGATGTAAGTAATCCCCTTACACTACAACTGCTCAGAGTGAGCATCAGTGTTTAACTTCACTTCCTACTTTACATTTAAATAAAGAGGACATCATGCAATGGCCTTTGAAAGACACAGCAGGCCTGTTGATGTTGTTTTTGCTAAATAAATTCAGTCATCTGCAAAGTATTATGATTCAGATTAACATTATCACTACACATAGTAGAAAATATCCCACAAAACGTAAGGATGTTCTGTCTTTAATTTTAGTATGTTTTAATTAGTTTTACAAATACATCTAATTGCAGTTATTTCTGCATTAATTACCGTTTTTATTTATTTCAGTTAACAAAAATGTTTCCTCAATTTTATTCTACTAACTTTTGTTGACTATAATAACCCTGGACAAATAGCCAGTCCATTGCTTGGAAACATAGAGAGAAACAATCCTGCACCCACCATCATACAAGGGGCAATTAGGGAACCTATTAACCGAGCAGTCATGTCTCTGGACTGTGTGAAGAGCTAGAGTACCCAGAGAGAACCCACGCATGCACAGGGAGAACAACATGCAAACAGTAGAAAGTCCCAAGTTGGGATTTGAACCCAGGATCTTTCTGCTGCAAGGCAGCAGTGCAATCCACATACAAAGAACACAGATAGATCAATGTTAGAACAAGTTCAGTTCAGTGAGCACCAACTCAGCATTTCAACAGTTTTGGGGTAGAAAGCTGTGGATCCAACTGCTACTCTGCTCTTGATGTATTTCTGCTGACAGCAGCAGTTTACTGCAGCAGTTTACTGCAGTTCATCACCGTAGCTCACTGTGTCCCAAACATCTCAGCTTCCGACCCACAGTAAGAGTAAAAGTAAGAGTAAGTAAGAGGGTCATAACTCTGACTGTTGGTGAAAGACACAAGGATTTTTACACACTCACTCAGTAAAGAATCAGTGCAATGACAACACAACCAGCATCAACAGCCAATATACTTTTGCTTTAGCTTAGTTTCCAGAGCTGATTTCTTTAAAATCTTTTACAACATTTTTAAAATACAGAAGCTTTCATCATTGTTGCCATGTAGCTTAATTTCTAAGGAAACCCCAAGACCCTAGATTTCCATATTTGTGACCCCAAGTGGGGCCTTGACCCCAGCTTTGGTAACTTCAGCCTCAACTGACTGTAGTTACAAAGCATACTTATCTTCCAACAGGAAAGTGAAATATCGTAGCTTGTTTTGAATGCCGGTGAGTCTCATAGGAGCTCATTGTGTTCCATGTTGTCGTCATGCTAACAACATGGAACACAACTCATGCTGGTGTTTTCTTCACAGGTTAATTAATCTGTGGAAATTAAAGGAGAAGAATGAGACAAGAGAAGGAAGAAAAAGAAAGATCCGTAGTTTCTTCTTTTGCTCTGAGGGATAAAAGCATGACAAGTTCTCTCTTATATCCGCTAAATGGTTGAAGGATGTGATAAGGAGAACCTGGCTTACTTACCACATGTAAGCACATAGATTTAAGTTGATAAGCTACAGAGGTCTTTCATTATTGAAATAGCTGTAAATGTTTACTAAACACACATTATTGACAGTGTGTTTCAGAAAATAGCACCAACTGCTTTCTGTACAGTGTTTACAGTAAGCCAACACTGGGCTCATTGTTCTGCCAATAGAGCAGAGAGCTGACGGACAACTGTGATTGTTTTATTAAGACCTGACTGATGTTTTGGCTGGGAACATTTCCCTCTACTTTCACAGCGGTGTGAACTGAAACGAGTCAGTGTTCAGAAGGAGCAAGTTTGTCCTCTACTGGTGCACATGACAAATCACCTTTGACCCCTGAGAGAGGCCCACGGCTTCATGTAGCACTTAGCTTTATTGTCCTGGCCGTCACTCAGTGCTCCACGCTACCAGCATGGGGGCTCCTTACAGGCACTCCGCTACTCTGCTTCTCACCCCCGGGCCTGTTGGGACAGAAGGGCTGTGACTCCTCACACCCAGCCTGTGGCACTCAGATAGCCACCGTACACTAATGACATGTCACATGGAGTCCAGTCTCTGTTTTATACAGCTTCTCATTTGTCTGACTGCAAGTGAATGCATCGGTTTTAATGGAGGAGGACAACGTAGCTTAATGTTAAACTGCAGAAAAGTATTTGTTCCCAGTTATTAATCAAGTATGATAATGATCAAGTTTTTATTTTCAATAACAGATGTCTAATGCTCCCATCACATAATTTCTTGCATTTCAGTGTCCTTGAAAAGCTTTGGCTGATATCATCACCACACACACCTGACACTAGCTGCATTTCCATTATGAATGCGTGCACACCTTTGTGTTGTGCTAATGTAACAAACAAAAAAAGGCACTATGACATTTTTTATGTTTCTATTAAGTAAAAAAATGTAAGTACAATCCTACATATATAAACCTGTTAACACAATAAATCATTCAAAATCATGGCAGTTACTGTCGTCTTCTTCCAGCTGTTGAAGAATGTTCTAAGATTGTCGTAAGGGCAAAATTGGGGCAAAAAATCGTGTAGTGTGAACTGGGCTTGAGCCAACACTCAAGGCATGTTTTTGAAGGTAACATGATGAATACTGTTACAACATGATACACATAAGTTAATTTCACAATATATTGATTGAATTTATTTGAGTGGTGTGATGGGAAGTTAAAGTCAAGACATATTTTTTCTGTCCATTGGAGCAATTGGATTTTCTGATTAACCGAATGTGAATTTAATTCCTGATCTTATTTCGTGTCACTTTCTGAACACTCAATGGTTAGAAGCTAAGTATGAAGCTCTGTGATGTTTGAAAGTGAAACAGGAGCATGCAGACTTCCTCCCTCAGTGCACACGTTTAACCCCGTGCTGACGTAGCACCCGACACAGACTCCTGCTGACGTCCAACATGGGGCGGAAATGTTAGCAGGCCTGACTCGGCAGAGCAGGTGGAGTGACCCGGCGCCTCACCCCACTCCAAACCAGGTGCAGGACAAACACAGAGCAATGTGGAACCGCCGTCTGGGCAGGAGGACAGACGTAATGCTTTTCTCTGTTCCGTCGGGCTGTCGTGTGTCTGCACAGCCAAGGCTCTGAGTGCAGTGTGTGGACGACCGCCTTCCTGCACAGAAACCTGCCTGAGCACAAATATGTGTAACATTTTGTCTAATATTAGAAAAAAAAAACAACTTTGCAACAGCTGAGTTTTCATTACATAAGAAATGCAATTAAAATCACACATGAATGAGTTTGTCCACGTGAGAAGTCATTAAACATGCCTTGCCATCATCCATCTACCACTTCCTGTCTTCTTCTTCTTTGTCACCAGTGGCAACATGTTGATCATGTGACCTCTAAGCATTCTTGCCTTTGCAACTTAACACTATTTGAGCAGTTGGACTTGAATAAGGAACAAGCAGATATACAAAAAAGCAATATAAATAACATAAACATCTCTGCTCTGATAGCATCATGGTCAAACGGTAACAATGGTCACATTTATGATGTCAGTGCTGCATTATTTATTGTAAACTTTTAAGCACTGACCTCTGAATCTCTGCTTTCCAATGTCCAAGGGCAAATAAGCAGAATTTGCAACTCTACACTTGGGTTAGAGTTTTTATTTTGAAGCATTTTTATTTATATTAACCAAAGTTGACACATGGATGAAAGGCCAAATTTGTCATAAGTGGGTTTGGTGATGAGCAAAGGGCAAAGTAGAAGAAATGATTTAATGTGGTCAAAAATCCAGAAAAGCACTCTGACACAACAGAGAGGCAGGTGAGCAGCACTAAGATTCGGTCAGGAACTGACCACACAGGTGGTTAAATATGACTTAGACTTAGATTGGTACTTTATTGATCCCTTGGGAAGACTCCCTCAGGAAATTGAAGGACACAGATAGTCAGAAAACAAGGACCAGCTGGAACCAATAATGGTGAACAACGTGACACAAGGAGGGCAATTTAACCAAAATACAAGCACTCAAATAGGATACTCATAAAATCATGTGAAAATCTATTCAGTTTCATATCTGACTAAAGCCTAAACTTTACCTGTTTCATAATATAATGAAACAGAAAATGTTTCCTTCTCAGCAATGATTTCTTGTAAAATGTCCTTCATGGGAAGTTCTAAATAAATAAGAGCTCCTCAATGATTTTCTGTCTTTTATCTTCATTGCGTCACACAAGGTCAGCTGCTGATCTAGCAGTTAAAACATTTCAGAACGGATCTGGTTGATTGGATATGTTTTTTTTTTTGTTGTTTGTTTTTTTAGAAGTACATTCACAGTGGATTGGCATGCAATCACTGCTGATGCTGGAAACACGTGTTGCCATAACAGCCATATATACTGCGGGTGCCCCCTCCTTGGAGGACAAAACACAATCCTCAGAACATGATAACTTTCTACAAGTGTCACACCAAGCACCAAACACTTTGGAATTGCAATGTAAACATTTGTTTTGTGTAATATATAACTGCAGTATCTTCAGCACAACTATACATTTTTCTGCCTCTAATTGTCCTCCTGTCTCTTTCACCTTAATGCCTCCCCAGAAAGCTGTGCTGCTGTCAAATCAGAGGATTAGAAGCATAGTTGAGATCACAATTAGGAACAGTTGTGATTCTTGGCGAGGCAAACTGCCTAACCTCATTAAGCCGCTTCCACTTGAGATCGTCAGTAAAAAATGCAATTAGCTCATGTTTTTCCCTGTCTCCTATGCACAGTGAATGCAACAGGGAGGCTTAAGCCCTTTTGCCATCACTCCCATGTTTCTGAGCCAAAACTAATGCAAACCTGGGGCAATAAGGATCTTGAGTAGTCTTTCAAAAAACACCCAGTGAGAGGAATAATGCTTTTTTCTCTCATTATGACCTACCAGTGCAGAGCCCTTGGCTATGGTTAGCCACTAAGTCCCTGAACACATTTGGTCTGTTAGCTTGCTCTGCAGTAATGCCTTGTTGGTATGAAAACACTGTTCAGGTGCCTTTGCACAGCCTCATTAATCCCTAATGACTAATGAAGCATGACCTCTCTACCTTTTAGACCCCCTCCTCCCACCTTTATGGCTGTTGTGAAATCGGGGTGAGTGAGGTCAGTGATCTAAATTAATTCATATGGACATCAGGTCATGAATGGAGAAACTGAGTCTCGCACATAATAACGGGAGTCATTTCAGGATCATCTAGTTGAAGATTTAAAATTAACACTTCTCCTGTGAGTGAACACAAACTCAGTGCCTCGCAAGATTTAGTAAACATCTATTCTTTTCACATATTCTACTTCAAACCAAAAACTTAGCTGTGTTTTAACTAGTACGCAGAGGTAGTAAAGTGGACAGAAAATTTTTACAGATGACAATCTTTCAATTTATGATTTGTGCTCCCTTTACTTTCTACTTAAAGTGTACTTATATGTTTTAAAATAGTATTTTGTATATTTGTTCTCACTGCAAAGCATTAAAAATAAAGTCTTGTGATTTCTGCTTGACCTTAGGTAAACAATAACATTGTTTATGTATCAGGAATCAGTGAGGGGTCATGATGTGTCAGCTTTTGAGTCTCAGCAGAATATTTTCACCTGAAATTAGTGCCAAAGAATGATAGTAGGAGAATGAGTACGTTCTAGGAAATGGAAATTAGTCTTCATATAATAACGGTTTTCAAGCAATAAAAAATGAGGATGTTTGACATTACTTTTGAAGCAGGGATGTCCTGTCAGTTTGTCTTTCCTAATTCCAATCACAGCCATTTAAAAACAGATTTTTGCGAATATAAAGTTCAATCTGATGCTTGAAAATGCTGTGATATTATGTGCTTTCTTGTCATTTTTATTTCATAACACTGACATGCCCAAATCTCCAGTTTTGTATTTCTGGAGTGCAACGGACATTTTGTCCACACAATTGCCAAAAAACTTTTTGCCACTATCTACGGGGTTTTGAAGTTGACTGGTTTGCTGAAGATCTAGACTACCAATAGATTCTGCCCTCTCTCTTTTGATAAGACTTGTTGATCACTTGGCTTGTAATGCGAGTTCGTACAGCTCAAGGAAAATTAAGTGAAACCCAAAATACGGATGTCGTGCTTGTGTGTTTGGTATTGGAGGGGTGTGATTGTTGAAGATTAACTCCAAACGTTTTGCGTCATCTGGCAAAAATTGGATTGGTGCTGATTTTGATGGTGATGCGCATGGCGCCATAGACCGGAGAGCAGTGCAAATTGGGGGTTGCACTTTTACAGTGACTAAAATATCGTCAGAGATATTAACAGTAAAACATTCCCTAAAGATAAACAAATGCCAATGCCTTAGATTAATGCCTAATTCCGTTTCTTATTGCCGTTTTTCTGCCCTAAATGACATAAATCTCAGAGAAAAAGCTGGTAGATCTCATTGGAACAGACAACACTTCTAGCTGCTGATGTCTACATGTCCTTGGGTAAAAAAACTTGTTTCCTCTGAATCCGGGAGGTGTCCAGAGCCAGAGGAGCCACTCACTTTGTTGCAGCTCTGTTGAGGGGGGTCGACCTGTCTGTCATTATGGAGCTGCTAATGTCTTTATCATTCCCCTAACAGAGACCTTCCAGATTACATGACTCCCCTCCCTCACTGGGCATTTTGAGCTGTCAGAAAACGTGAGATGACCCAGAACCATGACGGGCGTCTCTGTGTGACAGCTGTATACTAAATAACATCAGGGTCACAAAGCTGCACATGCAGGCTGAGTCAGGACGGCGGTTCGTCTCCTAACGCTCTGTGTCTTTTCCTGACCTGCAGAATGAAGAACAAGCTGTGGTACTTTGAGTTTGGCACCACTGAGACCATATCCGCCACCTGCAAGAAACTCAACGAATGCATAGAGTTGGAGGTGAGTGAGAGTTCCTTCAGAACATGAGCTGACACTAAGTGAAGAAAGAATGTTTTAAATAATCTGGGCTTGGTTCAGAAGGTGTCACAGGGTCTTAAGGTCCAGTCCCACCTAGGGCTGTGGCTCTGTTCAGGATGGCCAGGCCAGGCCAGGCTGATGTGATGGCTGGTTCTTTTGCCAAAGGGGAGGGTCTTGAGATGAGTCTATCTCAATATCCATCTCAATTTATTTTCACCTATCAAATTATAAAAAGATCAAAATGATTTTAACATTTGCATTTAGCCCTGTCCATAGAGGTCACTACAGTGGTCAGCTATCTAAAAGCCATTTTATTTTGTTTCTTGTGAATTTTTATATTACAAATACACACAGACCACTGGAGTGGACACTACTGGCCATCCAGTGCAAGTGCAAAAAAAAATTTGTTAAATCCAATATCGCACACAGACAATAAATCAATAAATCATCATCTTATAGGCAAAAAAAAATATTGTGACATCCAGTAACTTCTAGAAACTGATGTATTTTACAAATAACTTTGAATTTAGAAAGAATTGCAACTGATCACCTAAAAAGAATTCTAGAAAAGTTTTTTTTTTTTCTCCATCATTTTTATGCCTTAAGAAAATCAAAAATCCTGATGTAAAGGATCATAATTCATGTCTGAAAGTGTTAATTTCCTTCTGGTTTAAACGATATTCAAAAATCTGAACAGAGGATCCACATCACGCTGTGCATCACACAGCAGTCAGATGAACACATGGGAAGTGATTAAAAACATCTGACTATGACCAAATAACTAGCTGTAAACAATGAAACAAAACAACTGCAGTTTAATTTTGAACAATTCACCTGCCGGGTCCTGAACACAGACTCACCTCTGCCTCCTGGTCTACATGGAGCTGACTGTTTCTGTTCAGCTGTAGATTAAATGAACTTGTGGCTCAACTGCCTCATTTTCTTGTCCTTGTTCATCTAAGAAGGCAGGATGCCATTTTGCCAATCTGTCACAGTAATTAGATCAACAATAACAGACAACAGACAAAATAATCATGTCAGCAGAACTGTGTCCTCATTCATGCGTCTTCGTGGGAGTCTCAGTGTGCTTGTTGTTGCCTCTGACCCAGCTGGCACAGGTAGTCCATAAAAACGTGATGCCACACTCTGTGCATGACTTGCTCACACTTGCTATATGAAACGTGCTTGCATTTTCCACCATTTCCTAACAAAGAGCTGCGGCTCTGACAGAGTTAGGCCGTGTTCAGCCTGATGAAGGTCAAAATCTGATAGGGGGCCTGGATGTAAGGTTCCAATCACGCATTTAAATCTTTCAGTTTTTTTTCTCCGAGCTACCCACAGGCAGATATATGCTCAGAGGCCCTTGACATTTAATTATGCAGAATAATTTTCTACATAATAGAACAGGAGCATAATGCGTCTACATGTGAAATCGGTACAGGTTGCCAATCAGAGTGCGGCTCAATCTGCTGGGGCTTGTTTGTGCTCTGTCTGGTCTGAGGAACTCAGAGCTCTATGTTAGTTCAAGCCTGACCCTTCGTTCAGTCAGGAGCTGAGTTTACATTACAAATGTGTGCAAAAGTTGGTCAGGATTCAATTAATGTCAAATAAACACAATTTCACAATTGCAGTGTTTCAATTAAATGTGAAAGCTATTAAAATCACATGTGAATAAGTTTTGTTTACTCGATAAGAAACATGCCATCCCATCATCCTCCTACTACTTCCTGTCTTCTTCTTCATGCGCCAGTGGCAACATCCAGTTATTGGTCATGTGACTGGTACAATGTGAGAAAAATGGGTATCCATTGCAATTTTGTGAAATTAAACAATTTCGATATGGCCAGAAATACCCGAAAACAAGTTTTTTTTTCAAAATTGTCATGTTTCCATTAAGCACATTTATGTTTAAAATGTCAAAATGTGCAATTATATGGTTTATAATCTATCTAGACTATTTGGTCTTTACGGAAACCTAATATGTTTACATTTGACCTCAAGGGTACAGAAAACACACCATTTTCACTATTTAAAATTAAAAAGGAATACCCCTAACTCTAAGTAATGGAGTACACTTACTTGAACTCTAAGTAAGCCTTTTCAGTAAAATGATCCTTCGACAGTATAATTCTTAGATTACTCAGTTCTGGTGACATGGTTCAGGCACATTATGTTGTTTGCTGGCCACTAAATAAATGCATTAGGAGGATTTCCATTATAGAATTTCTTTAAATCAGTTTTAGACTCTGAAGCTGTTTCCTCATCTAGCACAGAACAGAGAAATAAGCTTTCGATTATGAAAATAAATGTGTCATATTTCTGCCTTTGCAGTGTGACGGGATCATCCTGGACCTCAGCAGTACATCCTTAGAGGGCATTGCTATTCTGAACATTCCCAGCATGCACGGTGGCTCCAACCTGTGGGGCGAGACGAAGAAGAGGAGGACCTACACCCGAATGAGCAAGAAGGTTGCCGACAAGATGCCTGGCTGCACCGTCACAAACCCTAAAGAGCTCAAGTTCTGCGTGCAGGGTGAGTCACTGAGGACGAAGGACTCACTTCACTATGACTATAGATTTTGGTTAGTTTATGTTAAAAAACAACTCTCAATTTCATCTACAAATCTACAAAAATTATCAACAGCAAATGCTAAACTTTTTGTTATTGGTTGATTGAAACCAATCAGAACTCAATACACACTGATGCCAACATTCAGTCACAAAAGCAGAGCCTGATTCTGTTTGAAACCTCTTTTAAACCTCTTTTAATTAATAGAAATATTCCTCCTGTCGAGTCTTTAATAAAAGTTTCTAAGCTATGAAGAAATCATCAGTAAATGCAGTCATTTAGTCAAATGTAGAAGTTGGAATGTCAAGGTGATTAAAACAAAGGTGCTGAGCTGTTGCCAGGAAACTAAGATACAGGAACACCCCTCCTCTATAGGCCATGTTCATCAAACAGTAATACAACAGCCTCCTGGAACAGCAAGTGATGAAAACCGATGTACATGAATCCATAAAATGACCTCCAACGCTGCGTCACACACGACAGCGTCCTCAGTAAACAAACAGTCGGTTACATAAGAGGCTGTGTAAACAGAGACGCGTTTTCTGCTTTGCTGTTCAGACCTACCTGTGGAAAATCCACCAGAAAACCCAATGAGTATTTCTATCTGCCTTTATAGCAGTAAGTAAAGTAGTTTAGGTCATGAAAAGGAAAAATCAAAAGATTAGTTTTTGATATTACATTTCTATTTATTTATTTATTTTTTGTCATTTTTACCCATTCGATTAGGAACACATGGGAAGAAAGACAAGAAAAACTTTCTGTCAATGTTAAGAACACATGAAGAATAAAAAAGGTGTGGGCAGAAGCATGTTTTTTTTCATGAATACAGAATCGTCAAAAATCAAAACAGCAGATTCTTTCCTGTATGTTTTTCTAAACATATCTCCAGCTAAGTCTGACAAACTCTTACAAGAAAACATAATCAAACCTTATGGGATTACTTTAAGACTTTTTTTTTTTACATGAAAATACCAAAAAACACAATTTCAGCTCCTAGCTACAGTTATTCCCTGTAACAGAAGTACATTTATGTTTAATTTTCGTCATGATCTTTAATCTTATAAATAAACCCTTATCTCTTAATTCATAGTTGTTTCTTTAATTGTGAACCATTTCTGTATTCACCTTGGAAGGAGTTTATTATTGGCTTTGCTCATAGTCAAAGTTCATAGTCATAGTTCTGAGCTCTACTATATCATAACATTTTATGCAAAACTATGAAATTTGGAGCTGATGGTCAGACTAAAGAATCAAAGTATTCATCTAGAAACTGGAGGAGAGCACAGAGGTTGATTTGTCATGTTTTCTGCTCCATCTCAGCAAAAGTATTCAAAAATAACAATTCTAATATCAACAAAGGAAAATATTTTGTGTTACGTTTGCTACTGCTTGCTTGGCACCAATAGCATGTGTCATGACCATGTGCTGCAACCACAACAGGCAGATTTTACACCGCTGATTTAGAACAAGCACAGCCTAATTTCATGTGCATGTCTTGCACAATACATCATGAACTATCTTTTAATCTGTGGTTTTCAACCTTTTCATTGATTTTCACAATAAAAAAGGGAGGCTGCTGCAGTTGTGGTCAGTATAGAGAGCAACTGAAACATCAGCCATTAACTTTGATACAGTTCAAAACAGAGTGCTAACTTTATAAAGCAACAGAGCAACTTTTTCTTTAAGATTTATGTCAGTGGGAAAAAAATGAAATCTTATGAATAGTTCAATACATAACAGATATATGTGTGGTTGTCTTGGTGTTGGTTTAGGCTAACTTAACCCATCCCTCACTCCATTTAGCTTTCCTTGGTGGTGATACACTGTTGGTTTCTTTAGTTGTGTTTTCTGCTCCACAACCTGACAGTTGAATTTTCATAATCCTTCACTCAGCATTTCTGTTGTGTGTGCATGCGTGCATGAGTGTGTGCGTGTGCCCACATGCGTGTGTGTGTGGTTGTGGGGTTCTAAAACGGCGGGTGCCCCAATGACGGAGTCTGCATTTGATGGACACCAACAATGAAGAATAACCCTCTCCATGCACCAAGGATCTGTCGCTGCATCTGCATTTCTGCCGACTGAACAGAACCTTGTTTCCATGGAGACAATAGCACGATGCCAAGGCAGAACCCAGAGTAGAAGCAGTCTGAAAGTCTGAGGAAGGGTGAACTTCATAAAATAACATGTTTTTATTGATTGTTTTGTGCTCTTGCTTGAGCTTACTGTGGTGTTGGCAGCTTTAAAGCAAAACAGCACAACAAAGAGTTTAGAGCAACATCTTCTGCTTTAAGGTCAGATTTTTTTTCTTCAGACATCAGGGATTGTTCAACAAGATGCTGTAAAACCAGTATCTCAGTATCTCCACTCTACTGAAATGGGTTTGGGAAATTACTTCACATCCATCCATCCATCCATCCATCCATCCATCCATCCATCCATCCATCCATCCATCCATCCATCCATCAACCCAGCCACCCACCTTTTTGTCCTTTTTCTGCTTTATCTTGAAACCTCTGGCACTGTGACTCAGAATACAGAACAGAGATTAATTCACCTTATGGTGCATGTAAAAATCTTTGCTGTTGTTGACTTCATTAAGTTGATGAACCAAGTTTGAATTTGTGACTTAATTCCAAGACAGAAGCTTCTGAATGAAGGGAATCTGAACATACCTCTCTTTTCTGTTTCTCATAAAACACTAACTGTGTCTCCATTGATCGGAAAATTGCACAAATTGGAATGAAAAAAAAACAAACATTTTTTTTTGATTTGTGGAAATGCACCAAGGGGGGGAGGGGGCAGAATTGAAATTATTGTATTTCGCAAAACTGCACTGGTTACTTTTTCCATCACAAGTCATATGATAAACACCTAATGTTACTAATGGTAAAATGGGTGGAAAACTACGACCATGAGCCGCAGCAAAACTTTCTGCTGTTTCTTGGTTATTATTTAGAACTAGAACTAAGTGGGTTAAACTGACATTATTCAGGTTTACTTCCCTGCATTTAAGGGTGTCTTGATTCTCCCCAAACAGGATTAAGTGATTGTGTCAGTGATGGAATCTTTTCTGCTCTCTCGGTTTGAAAAGCCTCTCATACTAGTGGTGTGTTTTTGGTGTAAAGCCTGCGTGTGGGCGCTCTGTATCTGTGCGTCCGCGTGCCGCCATGTTTATCGTACCACTAACCGTTTATGGCAGCTGTTTTCTCTGGCACTATAAACTAAAGCTTTTAAATCCATTTGCTGCAGATAATGCAATCAGTTCAAGTCGCAGGGAGAGTGAAAGAAGCTCCAGGCACTTCTGACCTCAGAGCCGCTCAGCTTTGGGTTTGTTCCACACAGAAAATAGAGGAACGTCCTGCCTCTGCATCTGTAGCATTATATTTATATACATCCACCATGAGGCTTTCAAAAGAGCAGCAACGTGATGAGCCACAGCAGAGTTTCTTGGTGTGTTCACGTTTCATGGAAGTTTGTTTTTGATATTTTCTTAACAACTCAAGGTAACATTGAAAAATATTAACATTTTTATGCTCAACTTATTTGGAGCAAGCTTACAGGTAACTGCAAAACAACCAAAATGCTGAGTTCCTTCATATCAAGGCTAAAAACCCAGCTGCTTAGAGCTGCCTTTGAGTCATAATAATTGAAACATTTATTAATATATTTGATGTGTATTTGCTTAATAATGTTGATGGATGTTGAGAAAATAACACTTATTGATTGTTCCGCCACTGGTTACCATATTGTGTTTAAAGCTCATGAACTGCCTAGCTGTTGAAATGGGCTATACAAATAACACTAGATTAACTTATCTGTGTATAATATGGGACTATGTGCCTGGAAAATAAATTATTTATCTCCTTTAAACTAATTTCTTGGTGCTGCAGCCGTTCTGCTCATCGTTTCCTCCCACCTCTTGAGTTATGACCAATACTCAATTTTTTTCACCTCGCGACTCCAGACTATGATACGGTGTTGTCCGTACATGATAAAAGCATCGTGGGCAGATGGTATTGTTGGGGTAGGCTCATTAGGCAGTGCTAAGAGCATAGCTGTGTCATGATTTTCTTCGTGCTGTAGAAGGCTCTTTAAAATTTGCTGCAATCAGGCCATGTTCCGAGAGCTCAGCGGGTCTTCATTCATGTAACAGAATGTCTTGCATATGGCCTCTGATCTGCTCACTCTGTGTGGTGCTAACAAATGCCTCATTGTGAGCAAACCTCCATGAGAAGAGTCGGTTGAAGAACAATAATGCTGACCACAATCAGCACAGCTGAACTTTGTCTGTTCATCCTTCTACTGGTGACGTTTTTAAAGCCTTAAAATGAATAAAAACCTTCTTTATAAAAAAAATCCAAAGAAACACAAACTTGGATATAAATACTGTTTGAAAGATAATATCTTTTTATTTCCTTGTTTACCTGGTGTTGTGAATCATTAAATTTAAAAAGTGAGCCTTCTCATTGTTTTGCACAGTTTTTATCGTGCACACCTTCCATCTGTATTTCCTTCAGTCACATTTTCCATGCTTTTTCAGCAGCTGATGAAATGATAAGAGCTGCAGAAAAATAAACCATGAGACATCACGCTAGCCGAATTTCATTTGGCCACGTATTTGCAAAATTTGTCTATTTGGAAATGCATTTTATTTGTAGAAACACGGCAATTAAAAATATATATATATTATTTTAAAAAAGCTTTAGTGTGGTTTTCTGTTTGTATCAAAACAGGTTAATTTCACATTAACCAATTAATTTTTATGTATTTTTTGTAATCACCTAAGTCACATAATCAACTACCGGCTGTTACTTCGAGTGCAAACCACAAAGAAGATGAGAGGAAGTAGTTTGAGGATGGATGAGACGGGACATTTTTCAACGACTTAAAGAATGAACAGTCTTACTAACAGGTGAATTTAGTTGTGTTTATTTGATAGAAACACAGAAATTGTGGGGTGGGGG